AGACTCGAACTCAATCCAATTTATTTAATTCTTTTAGTTCTTTCTCTCATGGATTCGACATACTAGACTTCGTCCACCTTTTAGCTTGTTGCTTGTGAATCACTAAATGCGGTCTTTAGAAAAAGAAAAAAATTGCTTGCACTTTTGTTACTAATTCATCGTGACCTTTAGCCCCAGATTTCTTCTTCCGCCATCAATTGTGTTTACTTCAAGGGAATAATACTGACATGCATATGAGTTCATTATTTTGATAGTATTTTGATGCGTTAGTTTTGTATTGCCTACCAAAAGTGTCAAGACTGCTTGTAGTACAGAATAACACAATCTTTATATTATATAAAGTAACAGAGTGTCTACAACTTTTGGAGCCAAAATTGCCGCTCAAATGAAGGATATAATTGTAAGTTCGTATGTCTTGAAATTAGCCTGTTTAATACGTATGAGTTTCTTGACAAATTTATACATTAATGGAGCTTTTATTGCCATTAAAGAGCTAACAAATACTACGTAATAAAAAAGGAGCTAACCAAATAAAGAGCAACGTGTGTAAAGTGTAAAGCAATGTAATCATTCATTACTTTCCTTTTTATCTTCAACGCATAACAAAAATTTTATGATTATCCATTTTTTATTACGCATGACACAAATAAAAAATAATCAATGCAAACAAATGATTTAATTTTAAAATAATGATGAATATATGGAAAAGTACTATATATATGGAAAAGTACTATATATTTTAAAATAAAGTATTAATATTACTCCTGAAAAAGTTATGGACAAAAATGTGATTTGATAACTTTTAGTTATTATAATTGTATTCAAAGTTACTATAATATAGTGACTGATGTGATGTTTGAACACAATTATAGTCACTAAAAGTTATAAAATCATTTTTTGTCCATAACTTTTTTATTAGTAATATTCCAGGAAAATCTTCGAATACATAACTAAAATAAGAATAGTAAATAAAAATGTAAATTCCTACACTTCAAAGAAGGTATGAAATATTGAATAAGGACATCATCTTAAATAAGTAAATTTGTAAACAATCTTTTCTTTATATAATATAAAGCGACAGAGTGTCACAAATTTTCGCTCCAAAATTACCGCCTAAAGTGACAACAGTTACCGAAACTGTTCTCCATACATGTTTGCTACGTAATTATAGCTCAATATCCGCTATCATAAATTATTGTGGTAATAATTAACTCAAATTTCATTTAATGCACAATCAATCATATATACATATATTCCATATAATTACCGCCTAAAGTGACAACAGTTACCGAAAATGTTCTTCATACATGTTTGCTACGTAATTATAGATCAATATCTGCTATCAAATGAAATCATAAGTTATTGTGGTAATAATTAAATCAAATTTCATTTAATGCACAATCAATCATATATACATATTCCATATAATAAACACATAACACAACGGCCATAGTCAGGAAAGATAATAAAAAATTACTCCCAAACATATACTACTTATATAATGGCTACACACATATTTTGTGCTACGATATTTGTGATCTCAACAGAATATAAAGCAAAAAAATGATACACCCCGTGATATATTTATTACCACTTCAAATGTCCCTATTATTTCAATTGTTGCTAGGCTGCTAGCATGTATCCATCATTTCTAGATAATATGATTGATCTGTCATATTTTTGGCATATGTCTATTTTGACACGAAAAAAATGATGAGGTTGAGCTTATGAATAAGTATATGATTTCATTGGTGTATGGAGAAATGAACACATATTTAAGTAATGATAGTCCATATTCGATCACTTCAAGACAACATTGATGCTGAATTCAATGAAGTGCATATTTAAAAGTTCTTGAACACCATCATGACATCAAGTATACTGAACCATAAATTTGGAATATAGGTTGAGTTTGTTATTATACTAATGAGAAACAGTGAATAATCTTCTAACTTATGTTTTGAAGTGAAGAATCTTCTAACTTATGTTTTGGAGTCTAAAGGTATACCCGACAAAATTATTGGTCAAAAGGTTTTAATTTCAAGTTTATCATTGTCTCATCGGATATTGTAATTCCTTTCAAATTTGAATGCATTCAATTCCAAATTATCACTTCATTTTCCACAATAATAACGATAAGCCAATTATAATATCTGCATTAAGAAACATATATCTACCAATATTTGTTTTTACACATAGTCAATTATACGCTATGATGTTAAGGGTACCTTAAGGAGTCAGTTGTACATTGTCATGTCAAGGGTCACCTTAAGCTAGGAGTGAGTTTAATATTCTTATATGTGATCAAGAGCGTCATGCTATCAATATTATTGATAATATGGTCTATAAAGAACTTTTTTAGAAGTTATGATTCTTTTTGTACAGTGTCAACATATATGATAGTTCATTTTTATAAAGCTTCCTTATGGCCATTGCAGGAGACACTTAAATTGTGAAATCATGGTATTTCGTTATAAAGTAGTACTTATTCTCAAACCTTGCCCTTTATTGTAAATTGACTTGCAATTTTCATCCGATCAACGTTTTCCTTTTTCATGCAAACTACCATTATATAATCAAGGATACGACATATATATAAACTCTGCTATGTATTTTTATTTAAAATAATTACATATTACATACCATCAAAATAAAAGTTAATTTTAAACAAGTTATTATTCAGCTCTCGATGTACCCGTGCATCGCACGGGTATTGCGTCTAGTACATATTTAAAATACAACTACAAATGTTTACTACTCAATAGGTTATTGATCTTCTTGATCAATCCCACATTCAAATATTTATGAAGTTGGTTGAATAGAAGTAAACATATCAAATACCACAGTTAATACTTAATAAATTACTACTTTCTCTAGAACAATATAATAAAAATATGTATTGTGGATATGAGTCAATCTTATATTTTCTTGATTTGTATTTATTGTACCTTTCATTTCATCTCCTAAAAAAAGTTCAACCATCAATATTAAAATATTTTTTAGATACTTTTGATGATACTTTTTCATGAGATTAGAAAAGTAGAGTCTAGCTTAGCCATTATTTGAATTTGCATTTATTTTATTTTATTTTTTGATCCTCTTTCATTATGAAGGCATATTAAATACTTAATTTTTAAGTTGACACAAATGTTAACATGTCAAGTACTAACACCAACTATATCAAATCAACATATAATATAGTTTTTTAGATAAAATCATTGAGCATTTTATTTAATCGCGCAACGCGCGTGCAAAAAACTAGTATTTTTATTAAAACAAATGTGGTAGTGTGATAGCGGTTATTGAATTCGATTCCAAGTTGCCAACCTTTTCTAAATAAATTTGGAAAGTTAGAAATTGGAAAGACGGAAACACCCTCGATAGACCAGCTTCAGTTTTAGAAGCTGTTCTCTTCACCTGATCTGAATGTTTTTGATCTGAATTTTTTAAGTTCTGATCTGATCTGATCTGAATTTTTCTGATGTGATCTGATCTGATCTGAATCTTTCTGATCTGATACGAATGTTCCTGATCTGATCTGAATGTTCCTGATCTGATCTGAATGTTCCTGATCTGATCTGAATGTTTCTGATCTGATCTGAATCCTTCTGATCTGATCTGAATCTTTCTGATCTGATTTGAATATTTCTAAAATTTTAATTACAATTATAATTACTATAATTATAAATGTAATTACACATATATAATTTAAATATAATTATAATTATAATCATAATTATAAATTTTTTAATTATAATTACAAACATAATTATAATAGGTATAATTATTATTATACGAATTACACTAGTTATAAATATAGCTATAATTATAATTGTAATTATATTTATAGTTATATTTATTTCTATAATTATAATTTTAATTATACTGATAATATTTATTTATATAATTTTAATTGTAATTACTTCGTATAATATGATAATAACGAAAACAAAACTAATAACAATAACAACAACAACAACCATATTAGTAGTAAGAATAATAATAATCATGATTATAATAAATATAATAATAATAATAATAATAATAATAATAATCATAGTAATCATAGTAGTAGTAGTAATAATAATAATAATAATATTAATAATAATAATAATAATAGTAATAATAATAATAATAATATTAATAATAATAATAATAATAATAATAATAATAATAATAGTAATAATAATAATAATAATAATAATTACAATAACAACAACAAGAATAATAATAATTATAATTATTATAAATATTACGGAGTATTATAATTATTATTATTATAATAAAAAGGATAAATCATGTCTCAACTTTTCTGATCTGATCTGAATGTTCCTGATCTAATCTGAATGTTCCTGATCTGATCTGAATGTTCCTGATCTGATCTGAATGTTCCTGATCTGATCTGAATGTTTCTGATCTGATCTGAATCTTTTTGATCTGATCTGAATGATTCTGATCTGATCTGAATCTTTCTGATCTGATCTGATCTGAATTTTTCTGATCTGATCTGATATGATCTGAATAAAATAAGAATAAACAGTAAATAAAATTAATTCTTTGGGAAAAGGGGCAAATAAGCCCTCGAACTAATCAAAAAAGTGCAAACAAGCCCTTTTGTAGGAGGTTCCGTCCGGTCATCGTCATTTGGGGAGGTTCACGGTGGAATTTTTTGATGAAAATTTTTTAGCATCTTATTCATTAAGTCTAGTTTAGTCCTACTGAATTTCAGCTAAAAATTCAACCGGGAAGACAGTCAAATGAATTTTTGAAGATAACTGCACAGTTAAACAACGCAGTATTTTTCCGAAAATCATTTGAGTGCCTTTCCGGTTGAATTTTTAGCTGAAATTCGGTATGGCTAAACTAGACTTAATGAAGAAGATGCTCAAAAAAAATTCATCAAAAAATTCCACCGAGAACCTCCCCAAATGACGATGATCAGACAGAACCTCCTACAAAAGGGCTTATTTGCACTTTTTTTATTAGTTCGAGGGCTTATTTGCCCCTTTTCCCTAATTCTTTTGACCTGGACATGGGGTGGGAGGTAATTGAGACTTTTCATTTTGTTTTTCGAGGAGATGGTATTTACTTTTTACCGTTTTGACTAAAATTATTCCTTCCCTTAGACCCAACGAAGCATATTTCCACTCCTATATTATCAAACGGCTTGAACACGAAATTCAATAATTCATCAATCAGCGTTAGAATCTCAGGCCGTGAAAACTGAAAATATGGGTTCCATCGGAAAGGTATTGAATTATTTCTCTCGAAATTTCTATCAGGCCTTATTTTTTTCTTCAGATGTTTGTATGCTACCCGGATTTGTTTATTAAAGTTTAGGTTTTTCAAGAGTTTATATTTGTCCAGCACGAATATCGGGTTCCAGTGCTGCAATTTCGAATTCTTTTTAGTTTTGACATAGAGAAATTAATTAATTAATGTCTTCTACTCCGTATATGTTGTTGTTGAATAGGAAAGCTGATAAAAGAAATCAACTTATAGAAGAAAAAATTGAAATGTTCTTGCTAATCGTTTCAATTGTCCTTTGTTATCTGCACTTTCCTAAATATTATACGTATTATTTAGGAGTAGTTACTAAATAGGAGTAGTTCTTCCTCTTTGTAGGAATTGATGTTGGTTATTGTTTGCAATCGTTTAAATTCCTAGACTTTAATGTGAACTAAAGACATTTTGTTTGTACCACTGCTATTCCAGTAATCATGATGGATTGATATGAATTATTAGGGGGAGTTGAGAATCTCCTGCAAGTTAAAAGTACAATCCTCATATTCCTCAAGTAGGGATGATCTGAAAATGACAGTCAATTAGCGGGTTTGAAAAGCGAAAAAAATATTAATACTCCTTGACGTACCAAAATTGAATGACGTGTTAGCTGATAGCTCCTTGACTAACTTGATTTTCTCCATTCAAAGTTAAAATGTTTTGTCCTAGAAATAAAATTGGGAAGAAAAATGATGCTCTATGATTTCAATATGTATGCAATTTTCTTTCTAGCAGGATAGCAGGGAAGAAGTTATCCAGGCATGGTATATGGATGATAGCAATGCAGACCAGAGACTTCCCCATCACCGTGAGCCAAATCTGTTTGTCTCCTTTGACAAACTTGATGGTATGTGTGTTTCTACGCTGTATCCTGTTTGACGTCACACTTCATTATTCATCTGATGATGCAATTAACATTTATCATCCTATACTTAATTTGTAACTCTTAGAGCTTGGAGTGCTCAGCTGGAGGTTAGATGCTGACAATTATGAAAAGGATGAGGTTTTGAAGCAAATCTGTGAATCGCGAGGATATTCATACATGGTAAGTGAGAATAAAAAAAAAGTGGAATTTTTTATATAAGCTCAATCATTTTTCTTGTTTCAAGCCTATCATCTATTTGTATACATTATGCTTCTTCAGGACTTTTGTGAGGTGTGCCCTGAAAAGTTGCCCAATTATGAAGAGAAGATAAAAAATTTCTTTGAAGAGCATCTTCACACTGATGAAGAAATCCGCTATTGTGTTGCAGGGAGTGGTAGGTCTTAATCTATTGTGGACTTGTCTGGCATCAAGACCTGTGTACTTAATACTATACTACACATAAAACATACTGAGTACAGGACTATCATTAAATAATAATAAAATTTTCATTATGTTCAGATGAAGTCATAGTTTTTGCTTATTCTGCTTAGCAGCTTTTCCTGCACTCTTCCAGTTGAAAGGGATGTTACGAAACATTTTCCATTTCAAGTACAACATATACAACGATTTCTGAAAATAACCCTTACCAATCAGAACATGTTACAGTTATTAATGTTTTGTACTCCTTTCAATTGAAGGTTATTTTGATGTACGCGATAAGAATGATGAATGGATCCGGATCTGGGTGAAGAAAGGAGCAATGATAATCCTACCTGCCGGAATTTATCACCGTTTTACCCTTGATTCTAATAATTACATTAAGGTATACCCAAACAAGATTTACATGCGCTTTATTAAAGTGGTTTTACTGCCATCATTTCATTTTGCTAATTGACTGTCATATAAAGTCTTCTATAGTTTGACACTTGATGCAATCATAAAGTTGAGATTTGAGAAGTATATTGCTCTTCTTTATAATATGACCAGCTTTTGTATATCCATTGGGACTTAAGGGGTACCTAGCTACCAATATTGTCCATTTGAAGTTCATGCTGTCAACATAGTTGTCATGGCGCATGGCGATCGCCATGGCTCAAAGGCATTTTTTTATGGCGCATGGCAATGGCGCATATACGAATGGCGCATAAGGCGCATATGGCGCTATGGCGATGATCATTTTTTCATGGCGATGGCGCATATGGCGCACGCCATATCTCGCCATTGACTACTATGGCTGTCAACCATACTCTGTATTCGTAATCCTCTCTCCCTAAGGCTATGTATGGGAGTTGAATTTTGGAGGAGAAGTGAAAGGAAGAGCTATTTCTCATTTATTCTATACATACATCAATTGAACATCATAATTTCCAAAAGAAAGATGTAAAGTGATAAACCAACAGTCCAGCACAGAATCAGTGTCCTATTCATATATACGACGTATGTAGCTGTTTTTTGCGTGCTGTGATTTCTAAAAAACTGCCTTTTCTTTTTCAGGCGATGCGACTCTTTGTTGGTGACCCAGTTTGGACTCCGTTCAACCGCCCACATGACCATCTCGACGCAAGGAAAAAGTACATTGAAACATTTGGGACGGATGATGCTACTACAGGTCTTGCTGTTGATGCTGCTGCCTAAGTATGCTATTGTACTACCAACTACACTACAGACTACTATTATATAGAACCAAGAAACTTTATCATCATGGCGCCGGTTATCGTTACACTGATAAAATAATGTTTCCCATAGGCACGCGTATTCTATGTGATGGCCATGGATTCAGTTTGATTATATGTATAAATATGTGAGTTTGTGATGCCAATTTTTGCCAGTGTTGAACTGCCGAGATGAATCGACCCAATTAGTCCTAGATCATGGATGGGTTTGATGAAAATATTTGCTGAGTTGCACCAAATATGAAATGTGTTTTTGAAGTAGCCGCAATATTAGTAAAGGTGTAATTATTATGGGTATGTTTGGCAAATGGCTTATCAGCCAGCTTTTAGCTTGTTTGACCCATTTCAGCTGTTTGATTGATCAAAGAAGCTAATAATTATGTTTGGTAAATGGCTTTTAAAATTAGCTTGTTGAGTTTGAAAAGCTGAAAAAATGGATTGTTGAAGAAGCTAAGGGGCTCCCCTTAGCTTCTTCTTTTGGCTGGTTCAATTTACTCTCTATCAGCCATTTTGAAACAACCAATTTTACCAAACAGTTATCTATAACCAGCTAACATAACCAGCTGGTCAAAACAGCTAACACAACCAGCTGTTAGGAAACAGCTGACACAACCAGCTAACAACAACAGCTAACAGCCATTTGCCAAACATACCCTATATTTGTGTGTAGATATGTATTTGAAATGATTTTAGTGGTAAGGTATGTCATTTTAATTTTGTCAATGCCCAATGAGCACATGACATCATCTGCGCATAGGATGAAAAGGGAAACGGTCTCCATGCTGTAATATTTGGGTTTTGTTTCTTTTTGAAAGAAACTGAGCCTTAATTCCAAATAACGAAGCCCTAATCCCGAGTAAATCCGATTCTACAAACCAGGGTATTATTATTAAAACAATAATCCTTATATATTCTTTTTATCCTTCGGTCGTGAAAGTTTGGAGCTGTATTAGATTGTTGGTTTTAATTTGTAATCATGTAATAGAAGTATAGAACCATTAATTTCAGAATGTTTGATTTATAGTATCTATTATGCTATGTAACTTTGTATACTACGTATAAGGCGTATAATAGTGTATATGAATGCATGAAAATACCACCTCCCTCCCATTTAGTTTGGGACATGGAGTTTGGCAGTTGGAACAAATCTATTAATATCTAAAGGAGCAGTTTTTTTGATGAACAGTGTTCCCGCTGGAAAACGTCAACATCATGCTTTAGTCTCTTTTTTTTTGTTAAAAATAATTGTAAAAGTGTTCAAATGTGTTCGTTGACATGGTAAAAATAATAGCAAACGAAATTCTGTAAATGCTTTCGGAAATTATGTAGTGCGCAGTAGCTGGAAACAGTCACATGAATAATAGTTGTATTCATTCTATTGGTTAAAAAGAGGTGAAACTGCATATCAATCTTAATTAATTCGTACACTTCATGGAGATGTATTCCTATTGGTTAAAAAAGGAGGTGGCTACTGTTCACATAAAAATGTCAGCAATTCGTATTGGTCAAAATGGAGGTGTGCATTCTTATTGGTCCAAAATATAGGTGCTCACTGTTGACATAAAGTGAGTGACTTGATGTTGAGTCACTGTTTTGAATGCTTTGTTTCTATTGGTGCATTTGGGTGGTGAGCACAGTAGAAGAGATTGAGTGTATCTCAATTTCTGCAAGCAACATGCTAACACACAACTATAAAAGCAATACTTCAGCATTGCACTTCTCACATCCATTCCCCCTTCAAACTGTAATAGCAAAAGAAGAAATATATATCCTGCAATATGGTGTGATGTTATTTAAATAAGATCTTAATAACTTTTTTTAAATTTATGATATAGGAGGAAGATGATCCGAGTTCACACTACTGAGCAGAGAGTTTTCTTGCAACGTGAAGGTTGACACATTCTTATTTTGTTTATTTTAATTTTAATACTATCTGTTCGTAGGTCTCTTAACTAAGACATAATTAATACATCAGGTTGGGTCTTCCTAACAAGAGAATTCAACCAGTCCATTATTGAACAAAGAAAGAGGACTGCCCTAGAAGCTGATGGGGACAAAGTGAAGAGAGAGATTTTTGGAGAATTCTTTTCAACAATGTCATTGAAGAAGATGAAGGGTGTTAAGATCGAGAAAGACTAAATTGGTATAGTGTTGCCAGGGATAAATCTATGTGTTTTAGGTACGTAGTGTTTAATACGTAGAAGTATATATGTGAGATGGGTTGTAGTGTAGTACGGAGCTCTTATGGTTAGAAAGGCAACATCTCAATTCCTTCCAAAAAATGTTTGTGGCTCAATCTACTTTAGAGAATACACCCTGCTTTGTAATTTCAACCTACATATTTACAAGAATAAATACGATGAATTTTCTTATAGTTGTCTTAGGGAGTTTGAAGTTGGGATTCATTTGTTATTCAACTAATATAAGTTTGTGATTAATGAAAACGCTATAAGATTTTAATGCAACAAATTTTATAATGATTTTTTTTGTCTCCCTATTCCTTGACACGTTCTTATGACATTGATAATGTTTTTGCTAGACATTGAATATAATAGAATGGTTTTAAAAAATAGAGTAATGTTATTATTTTAGGGTGGATTAAAAAAGTGGGTTCAAGAGATATACCTGGATTCACTGCCTCTGCTCCAGTCCTAATTTTTTCCTAATCTAAGCCTAATTATTAAATTATTACATCCCAAACTTAACAATTGAGATACATAAAATTGATTTTAAAGTACAAACGAGTACAAAACACAGAAACAATGGTCACTCAGAGAAAATATATCCATGCACCTGCATTCCAAATGAAAGTTGTAATCAAGAAGACTTGAAAATTGTATTTTATTATTACGCAGGCATATTGATCAATTTGCTAATTTATATAAACCGCAGGCATATATCCAATTTGGTCATACACCGAAAGCCAATTAGTTGCAATGAGTGGTGTTTTAATGAGGTGTGGCTGCCAGGTGTAAAATTTTAAAAGTGGTGGAAGTCTCTAAAGATAAGGCTGGGTTGTTTTTTAATATTGGGGTTTTTAATTTAAGTTTTATTTTAAATTAAAAGATGAGTATTAAAATCTGTATCTAAAACCAATTATGAAAAGAAGGCTTAAATCCATTTCCGTAAACCAAAAACTATATTCTCAAAATACTTGATTTTTTTACATTTTCGCAAGTGTCAAAATTAAAGCCATCCATAAAATAACTGATTACTTTACACGATAGAAGCGCTTAAAAACTTAAACAAATCTGTTGGATATACTTTAAGGTTTTGTATCAGTTTTTTTGTCTCATTAAATTATTCAAAACAGTTTTTTTTTAAAACCAGTCAAACATGATCTACATTTTATGTGGATAAACATGTATGCGTATATATGATTGATGTTATGACTCTTTTATAAAAAAATATTACTCCGTAACAAAATAATTTATATGAAAACGAATTCAAACCATAAACACAGATCTGAAGGTTTGGATGATGTAGTTCATATAAAATTGGTTGGTGATTGTTTATTCGTGAAAAAACGTGTAAGTGACGAAGTGGTTCGTGAGTTGGACAGATATAATTCTTACCACTGACATGCAATTCTAGACGGAAGAATGTAAAGTGTATGGAGCAATGGCCATGGAACTTCCAGATCTGTAGAGTTGGTATGTTGTAGTTCAAAAAGAAACAATTTTAGGTTGTTTATTCTTTAGAAAGCATGTAATCGACAACGTGGTTGCGTTAATGTAGGGAATCAGATCTTACTGTTGCCATGAAATTGATAGCGCGGAGTGACGCTGGATTGTGCCGATGTTCGTTCGTTTGTGGTTGCACGCTGGGATACCGGCTGAGAAGATCGAGGCCGATGATTTGTGAGGACCTCTTCGTTTTCCCGTTGCTTGGATGAACCACGGATAAGCTTCGTTGGAGTTCAGTGAGAGAAAATGTCGAGGGTGGGTTTGTGTCGGCGAAGAAAGGGGTGGGTTTGAAGGAGGAGTCGCTTTCAGCGTTTAGTTATATACGCCCTTTTATTGGGTTTACACCGATTTTTGGGCTCCTCCGACGGCCCGTTTATTGGCTTTAGGTGGAACTTTGGGCTGTTCTGGACAGGCCTGTTAAAATTGGTTTGGGTTTCAAAAAGTCAATGTCCAAACCTGTGGATTTCAGTCTCTTTTAGGCTCTAGATAAAAACTACTTCGTATTAATTTTTGTGTTTTAGCTATGGACCATAGATTAAAAATATACCATCTTTCATTAATATATCATGGATGTCTACTTCCGTAAAGTCATCCAAAGTCCCGATGGAACCATTCTTTGGTGCAATTGTGTCTTTTTAAAATTAAAGAACTCTAAAAATGATAAAATATGAATAAATATAAATAAAATATTTCAACAAATTTAGAAATGTTAAACTCTATATTTTGCCTTTATTTGGATTTTTTTTCGTATTCCACATTATTTTAGAAGTTTTTAAATTTAATGTATTTTACTTATACACCTTTTTATACTATCCAAACATGACTTATTATGTAATGACTATAAATAAATGTCAAAGACAGTAAATGTCAAGCATAGAATGTAATTTGTTTTCAAATTATATTTGTATTGAGTGTTACTATTTTGTTAGACTATACACATGTGTGTGCTACTCCACAATCGTTGATACTCTGTGAATTGTATTGAATACATTTCATTTTACATCAAACTTGATCAGTGTGTAGGTTTTTTTCTTTTAATTTGGGTATAACTTCGCCCTTTAAATTTCACCAACCGAGCATCACACTGAAATTGTACTTATTTTTTTAATTTAGAACTACTATAGATTCTACCTATTGAATGTGTTGCGAAAGTTATTGTGCTTAAATGATAGCATTACTTTTCGTATACGCACTCAACTAACATTTTCTCACAAATTCATATTCCGTATTTGAGTATCGTTTAATAATGTCGCAACACACTTTCACATATTTGCACACCCCCCCTGATTTGCCAATTTACTCGGGCAATTCGTATAAGAAATGCAATTCGTATAAATGCATAGTCACCATATTACTTGAGATGTTTATACTTAGACCTATTTCAGTCTCAACCCAAACCAAACTTAAACAAACCATATATAAGCCCGGTGATGCTTTTGCGAAATATCAATCATTTGATGGGGTTGTGTAACGGAACACGTCTTATTCTAACGAGGCTCGGTGGTCATGTTTTGGAGGGGAAGATTTTAACCGGTGTGAGTGCTGGACAAAAAGTATTAATTCCTAGATTGTCCTTGACGCCATCCGATGCCAACTTGCCCTTCAAATTTCATAGGCGACAATATCATGTTATGGTTTTATATGCTATGACTTTAAA